CCCTATTTTCATGCTGTGCTGAGGAAAGGTGGTACATTATATTGTTGGTTATCTTATCCAGTATCCTCCTGTACTCAGAATGGACCCATGAGAGGTAACCTCTGCACTAGACCTCCAGGAAAACCACTTATCACCAACAATAGAGTTTTCTGTATTGATTTATCAGCAGAGAACAGCATGAAGTCAATCTTCAGCAGTGGATCTGGACTCTGAAATACATTTTCTGTCCCATTGATCAATGCAGACCACTGATCAATGGGACAGAAAATGATTGCCAAGTCTTGGCAATCATATTGACTTGTTCTGTATTCTTTTAAAAAGTCCCCACACTATGAAATTGGCTAGACTTCTGCAGGCTACAGGTCAGTCACCAATTTGACTGTTCTGTGTGGCTATGTGACAATATTTTAAAGCCATGTTACAAAAGTGTCATGGGATGGGACCGTGCTTCAGCCTAAGAGAAATATTACCCTATCCTAAAAAAGGAACTGAAAATATGCTTTAATCCAACAAAACTGCAGCGTTAACCCGCTTCCTCTAAAGCTGTCTACATTAGTGGTAAAATGCCAGCCACAGCTAGTAAAACCCGTCAGAGCCTCACACCAAATTTGTGTGGATCACTCCACAGTGGAGCCCAATATTGATTACCCCAGCATTACAAACCAGCCTGACTGAATTCCAAGCCTGCGCCTGCAGCATAAGATATTCATGTCTATGTATAGCTCCAAACCAGAATTCATGCATATCGAATTCAAACACAGCTCCATGAAAACAACACTGAATCAACTGTGTACTTTTTATGGTGCCCAATTCAAATTGCCAAGTTGAACATATTTTTTTCATACCGGCAACACTAAACAGTTTTGAAAGTACAAAATGTACTGACAGAATAATTATTACTTTTACATCTTGTGACTTCCTTGTGAGTTCCTGTCATGTGCTCTCCCACGAGCTGTCATGATGGACATTACAAATATTATGTCGTTGAACTGGCGAGACTTTATTCAAGTCCTGCTGTAATTTCTAGCCAGTGACAACTCCAGCTGTGGAGAGTGAGCTCTAATGACTGGCGTTTCCATCACCAGCTCAGCTCAGCTGACTCCCCTGACAGGGAGCAGCTGGCATTATCCAGAAAGGTACTGATGGAAAAAATACAGGGAGTAGGCTGAAGTATTCTAAGACTTTGAAGCCTGTACATTATGTCAAAAGATGGAATCCTAAATACAAATGTTCCCATCCTGAAAGTTTGGGGTGAACAACTCTCTATAATTATATATAGCCAATGCCATGGTGCACCGGTGGCAAACAAACCTGAAGGAATTTTGGCAATGACCCCTGCAATGGACATGAATCTTATGGAATGTACTCCACCAAACAAAATGGAACAATTTAAAATAGCTTAGGAACATGATAGGAATGACATAAATACCCAAAGGTTTTGAGATACAAGTGGTTCATGTGTTGGCAATTTTATACATTGTACATGTGGATTGAGACAAAAAGTTTGATAATCAAAGAAAATCCAAGTCATCTTATGGTTACCATGGATATTATTTCTGCTGTACATTTTTCCTGTCTTTTATTTTGGCATTGCTCCAAGTGCTTCAGCAAAGTCACCTTCAGTTGCTGTGGTTTATCTTATCTAAGGAATGTCGTCTCCACAAACACGACATAATTTCCCTACATGCCAATTATCTCCTTCATTTGGGGCTGTCAGTGACTGGCGTTTGGTTATCAGCTCATCAGTGTTGCCATAGCAACTTTATGATGCACACCCTGCTTTGCATCAAGTATACCATCATCATCAAACAACTTATTTGTCGTAAATAACCCCACCCACCAGGAGTCTCTACAGTAGCCATTAATTCTACAAATAGGGTCCTGCTGAGAATATCATATTGCCATATAAGGAAGGAGAGTGCTGTTGTAGAGGTTCTGTAGGTATTAGAAAACCTATCTACATATCTCCCTGGCCAGCTGGTGCCTTACTGTGAAACATGCACACTAAAACCTCCCTTCTCAGAAATATAACTCAAAAATCATCTCAGGTTATGAAAGTTTGAGGCAGAAATTTACACCAGTGGAGAAAGTGTGCATACACATTGATTTCATCTACTGAATCTCTAAAAGCCTTGAGCTCCAAGCAATTAGTTCCTTTGCTTGGTTTTGACTAGATACGAAGAAAATAGAAGTACCTTTGTATGAACTTAAGATATGGCTGCTCTCAACAAGAGAGATCCCGCCACATTAGACTTTTTTGGAAGTCCAACAACCAAATAAAAGACAACTTGCCTCCACATTACCAGTATGTTTCCACTTCTGATTTACTATTTTCAGTAATGATATTCCAAAACTCTAGTGGCATGAAAGCTGAAGGATTCAAGCTTTTTCAGCTATGCATACATATATTTTGGATTGAATATGATAATTTGGGTCAGCTTCCCCAACCAAATGAATTACAAGTGAGGCACCAGGGGTTTTCCAAAGGCAGGGTTTTGTGCCACTTGGCGTTGTCAATCAATTCAATTACAGTCTGTGGTAAAACAACACCTGTCACCCTCCAAGACTGGTCTGTCAGGGCCAGGAGTCTGTACTGTAGTTTAACTTCTATCTACAGGCCATTCACAGTACTACTTCTATGTCAGGAGCAGCTGCCTTTGATGCACTAGTATCTTCTGTGCTTAAATACACCACATGCCAGTCTTGTCAAGCTTTGATACTTGCCATGATGCTTTTTTAAAATCTATATTAGCAGACCCCTACTGCCTGCAACCATGCATTACCTAGTATTTTGTGGCAACTTGCAGACCCATGACACAACATTTCTATATATAGACTGTATCTTGCTCTTGTTCTACCAAGGAGCTCCTTGGTTCTACACTGATGTGTTATGGAAGAGAACTGGTGGAACAGTCTTGAGAATCTCCACAGCAGCTGCTAGGCCTACCAGCTGCCCTCTACCTGATTGGTCCAATATGTCAAATACATGTTCATGGCACTTGACCAAAAAATAGTGATTTCCATGGTGGCCAAGTAGGTCAGCCAAACTTGTGAATAAAAAATCCTGCCTAAATCCAGCTTTATGACCTCTTTACCCCTCTCTGACAGCAGCGCCCTGGAGACAGCCCTGGCCCCAACATATATAATGTTTCACGGGATGAATTTCCCCCAAACTTTGGCAGACCAATCTTTCAGTTCAATCCTCTCCAAGTGGAGTAGATTGCCTGGCAACAGACCCACACAGTGACGTCAACGCACTAACCTTGAAAGGTTGCCTGTACTCAGAGTGATGGGTGATCCAATGATCAAGCTCTTTCAGCCACTGTTACCATGGTGATAGAGAGAAAATAGCAATTCTATCTTACCTAGGATGGATTATCTTACCTAGGACAGATAATGCTCCTCATGTGACATGCATTTCATAGAACCTGCCACCAAATCAGATTTACAAATGGAAGTAAATGACTTCCACTGACTGACTGATAGTAATGGTGTAGTATGCAGTGTATGTGGCTATGTCACAATAATCATATCAGTGGGGACCTTCTGCCATAATCTGATTTTATCTTTCAGCTGAGCTTCCCTTGAAGTTCAAGATAAATTTTGCCAACGTGTCTGATTGATACTGTTGGCCTAAATCAAACATTTTAGAGAAATAAGTTTAAAACTGTAACCTAGTATGGGCAACAAAACCCTTAATAAAGGTCACTTTCTATAATTAAAAAAAAAAACAAATTAATAAACAGCCAATGATCCTTGCATGCTTTGAGGCTCAGCAGCAAAAATAGTAACAATACTGATGACAAGCAGTTTGCTGCATTCCTGCATAGCAAAAGCAGCTAACATTGCTGTTTCTCCAGGCGGCCTGTCCTGTAGCATAACTATGTCAGGGAACCAGGGGATAGGGATCATGTTGCTCCCAGAATACATGGAAGTTAAAACCTGATACAGCAGGGGCCTTTCTATATCAGAAATGCTTCATCAGCAGTGAATTTAGCTTGAATATTAGATATAAATGTCATCTGAAAATATCAATGCAACTTAGCCCACTTTCCAATGGCTTGTAATATATAATATAATCAAGAGCAGAAAATAGAAATATTGCTCTCCATCTAGCAACAGAATGTTTCAGTTCATATCAACAGAAGATGCAGAATCAAACTTGCAAGGAGGTATACAAAATGACACAAAATCAGAGGGGTGCAGAAAAAACAGTGATAATGTAAAAATGATGCACTAAAAGCAAGCTTTAGACATGAACCCATCTGCAGAAAAAGACACGTTCGGTTTGAAAATGTCCTTGGACCATGGTGTTGCTAAAGAAAAGCACTGCAGGTCAGACTAGATGAGACATTTGAAATATCCCTGGTATGGATGCAGGAAAAAGGCAAGCCAAGTAGGCCAGATTTTATTTAGAATGCGGTACACGCGCCAAGCCGCACCATACACCGGCCGGCTCAAGCCTCCATTGCCCAGGATTTGGACTCTTTGTCCTTTTCGACATAATTAGTTCGCCGGGACAACACTCTCAAACAAATACCAGCTGTCAAAAGAACGATTTGCAGTTTGGTGCGTAACACAAGAAGCTATGTTGCCTTGTTGCGTAGCTACCAGTAAAATGGTCCGTTACCTGACACTCTATGGAACCAGTTCTACCATTTCGACTAGGCGCCCTGCCCTATCCCAAAGGCTTGCATTTTGAAAAGGCCGAGTTTGCAACCTTGGTTGCCTGATCTAGGGATAACATGTCTTAAGACCAGTAAATGTACTATGATGAACAATGTGTAGGTTTCCGCTAAAACGGGTCGCTGCGAAACTGCTCCTCCCCCTTACAGTGTTCTTTACAACAACGCAAGGTCATTTTTAGATCGGGTAAGGTCCTACAAAAGCCCTGTTGTTTTAATGGCGAATACAACATCTACTAATGCAATACGAGATGGAAGCACATTGATTTACGTTCTCCTAGCACACTGAAACAAAATTTAAGGGAAGTCTAGTACCTGGTAGCACTGGAGCCTCTGAATCGGTTGCTTGGAAAGCCGCCAGTGAAGAAATCTGGACTGACAGAGAATAAATAGGCCGATTGTGCACGTGACAAGGAAATCCTGTGCTGTGATTGGTCGATTACAAAAGACAGCGTTGGAAGTTTCCTTATATGGTAGTGGGCCGGACGGCGTTCACATAGGTCGCATGTTTGAGCGGGACGTTTACGACATATCGTCTGTTTTCCGGCAACAGTTTTGCGACATATTTCTGCCATCATACGTGACTGTTCTTGCGCACATCTCTCAAAATGGCTGCGCCCTGGTGCTGGTTTCGAGTAGCCTGGGTGCCATCCCCAGTAGTATATTCGCAAACTCTATAACTGGGTCTGGACTTGCACACATATGTAGCGTCTGGAGTCTAAATATTCGTTCAGATTTTGAACGAGCGCGCTGATTGGTCCTACTCGTCTAAGCCCTTTTTGGGGTATGTACATATTAGGTAAGGGCTGTTCGGACGTCCGAACGGCGACGTTAGCGTCCGTTCGAACGTCCGAACGCCTTATCATCAACATGTCCGACGGCGAACCGAACGCTAAAGCGCACATGATATAGCCGTAGTCAGTCTTTCCGCGATAAATCATCAACATGGCTGACGCACAAGCCGCTCAGCTCACGGAGGTTGATGTTGACCTCGCAATCACGTCCGTTTTGGACGATTTAGACTGAATATCGTCGCTCAAAAATGAGCAAAAAGATGCATTGAATAATTTCGTTCGTGATGTTTTGGGCGTCCTACCGGTAAAAAAAAAGAACGCACCGAGAAAAGGAACACTCGCGCGTAGATCTGTGTTTACAAAACAACAAACATCACTTGAATAATGCAGGCGCGCCATTGGCCGTCGCCTCTGAGGCTCAGCCAATCAAATGAAGCCCCGCTGCTCGGGCTAGCTCATTACGTGACGTCATGACCAATCGTTTTATATGTGTGCAAGTCCAGACCCAGTTATAGAGTTTGCGAATATACTACTGGGGATGGTACCCAGGCTAGGTTTCGAGACGTGTGAGGGGGAAAATTTGTGCAAGTGTTTTGAAGATTTTGCGTGGCTTTCTTTAATGATCAGGTGATTTAGGGGAAGTGTACTATATCACAGCAGATTTGGCAGTCAAAAACCTGCATTGGGAAGACGATCTTTTGTGTGTTTTGGTCGATGTGAACGAACTGAACCAGAACCGGCTGTACAGCATCAACATAATTTTTGTCAACTCAGCTGTGCGTCTCAACATCAATAATAGATTCATGCGATGACTGACAGTTTGCGAATTCTTACAAATACATCAGTACCAAACAGGGTTGTAAAAAGTGCTTCAAAAATGAGTTTCGTAAGGTACAAGGAGAGGGTAGAGGAAGGGGACGTCGTCATCATTTATTTGACACACGAGTCCATG